TACTCTTGAGTCTTTTGGTGGGTAATCTCGTCATCCCCCCAAAACAAAAGTATTCGATGGTAGGAGCCAACACTGGGTTTGGCCTGGTTTTGACCTTCACAGGAAGGGTATTTGTCTTCTGGGACTGGCTTTTTCATTCCGCAATATTGTGCTGAGATTCAGTCATGACCTTCTGAGGAACTGGCTTATTCGCTTGCACCGCTGAATGGTGTACCACTGTGTAAATGAAGCCACTGTAGCTCACTGAGCCATTTCCTTGCTCATGGGCACCTCGGTTATTTCTAGATTTTTGCTGTTAAGAACAGGGCCCTGGCTGGCGTGGCTGAGTTGGTTGAGCGTTGCTCATGAACCAAGAGTTTGCCAGTTGGGTTCCCAGTCAGGGCACATGCCTGGGTTGGGGGTTTGGTCCCAGGCAGCCCATCAATGTTTCTCTCCCTCTCTTTTTCTCTCCCTTCCCCCATCCCTAGTCTCTCGCTAAAAAAGGAAAGAAAGAAAAGAAAGGAAAGGAAAGGAAAGGAAAGAAAAAAGGACAGGACAGCTTTGAAAGTTCTTGTCCCTGTCTCTTGGAGCACACGCCAGAGTTGCCCTCGATCATGCTGGGCCTCAGCTTGGTAAGATAAGGCTGGATTGCGTGTGCACTGTCCCTGCCGCTGGCCAGTGCGTGTATCAGTCGCACTCCGACTAGCAACGCACCGGAGATTCCGTGGCTCCACCTCTTCTCCCACACTTGGTGCTGCCAGGGCTGCTCATTTCTGCTCTCAGAACGGTGTGAAATAGCCTCTCACTGTGGTCTTCATTTGCATCCCCTCGTCACCCATGAGCTCGGGCACCCCTTGGACGTGCATCAGACAAAGCTTTCCTCCTCTGGAAAAATGCCCAGTCCTGTCTTTCATCTAGTTTTCTGTGGAATCGCTTTTTTTTTCCCCCTAAGGATTTGCAAGTGTTTCCATGTATTTTCGATGCTCATTCTTTGCGTTGTTCGAGGCAGACGTCTCCTCCAGTTCATGGGCTGCTTTTCATTTTCTCTAAGGTGTCTCCACTCCTCTGTTGTCCCCCACACCTGTGCCAGGGAGGCCCACGGGCGTTGAACTCCGCGTGTGCGCGTGTGTGGGGGGTCGGGGGTCTCGAGTCCTATCCCTCGTGGAGACCCACCTCAATGCCCCTCCTTCTTCCAGGGGCTGTAAGGGACCCCAAACTCCCAGCTTTGGCTGAAGCGGCCTGGTTGGGGGCGCTCCTCTCTGCTCGGGGTGGGCACGCCGGCGCAGGGCAGGCCTGGCTGAGACGGTGCCCACTCCGCCCCCTCGGAGTTATTTATCACTTCCCGCCCCTCACCTGGGGGCCGGGCCCCTCTTTGCTCCGCTGGGCACAGCCCGCTGCACTCGGCGCTCCCTGGGGGCTGGCGGACGCGGGGGAGGGGCGCTCCGGACGGGCCCTGCGGAGGCGGGGGCCGGGGCCGAGGCCGGGGACAGGCCTGCGGCGGGAGCTGGGGTAGGGGGCGGAAGCTGCCGGAGTAGATAAGGGCCGAGGTCGGTTCTGCGGTGAGACAGTGCGGGACCCTGCCTCCTCCCCTGGCCCCCGCGGAGCCTGTCCCCACTCCCCGAGGCAAGGTCTGCCCCGCGGCTCCCTCCTCCCAGCCCGGGACTCTGCCCGGCAGTAAGAGACTGCCGAGCCCCCGGGGAGCCCCCGGGGAGCAGGGGGAGACGGGGCTTCAGCTTGCTCATTCAGTTCCAAAGCTCAGTTACTTTAACTGGAAAAGGGGGGCGGGAACCTCCACTTACCTTACAGGGCTGTTGGAGACGGAACCAGTCCGGGCTGGTGAAAGGCCTCTGTGGATTTGGGCTTTTTGTAAAGGATGGGTACCCTGAGCTCCTCTTGTTGCCCTCCCCCGCCTCTCCTGACTTCACCCCCATTGCACGGATGAGAAAGTGGGGGTCTCTCCTCGAGTCACAGAGCAGCCAGCTCAAAGCCAGTCAGGAGGGGGATTGAAACTCTTTCCACTGCCTCCAATCTGAGGACTGAGCTAGGTTTTGGGGAGCCTGATGCTTTTACAATTTGGGGGCCCTCTTGAAGGAAATGATGACAAAGTCACAAACATAAATTAAAAAATGTGGACCCAGGGATTGAACCCGCAACCTAGGTGTATTGCTGCCAGTGGCCTCACCAACTGAGCCATCCAACCAGGGCCACAAGTATAAATTTGCTCAGGCCTCTCTCCCAGGACCCTTGGGAAGGGACCCAAGCAAGTGAGAAGTTCAAGTCCAGCTTTTTGGTTTTCTGGCCTCACCCACACACAGGCCCCCCTGGAGAAGCTTGCACCCCTCTTCTTACAGGAGAGGGCAGGCACTGGCAGGCCTGCAGAGCAGGGGGCCCAGCTCAGCTCAGTGGGCGAGGCCCGGAGAGGCACTGCTGCGGCGGGCCCCACCCCTTGCGTGCCCAGGCAGCTGTCTGCAAGCCCAGCCCAAGAGCGAGGGCAGTCAGGCACTGGGGATGCACTGGGCTGAGCAGGGCCCAGCCCTCCCAGTCCCCTCCAGTCTGGTTGTCGCTCAGGGCCTCTGAGCCTGTGGGTGGGGGTGGCAGGGAACCATTGCCAGGAGGAAAGGAGGGAGCCCTCTCTGGGGGCAGTGTACGTGCACCTGGCTTGGAGGCACCCGGGGTTGGGGTTCGAGCTCCTACAAGGCTCGGTGACCTTGGGGGGACCCCTTTACCTTGGTTTCTTTATCTATAAAATGGGAGTAATAACATACCTACTCGTCAGAACTGTTATGAAGCTTAAATGAGACCATGCGTGAAGAAGGGCTGAGCCCTTAGAGACAAACCTCCCTTCTGTGAAACCTCCAGACCAAGAGAGGCCTTTTCCTCTCTACCTCAGGGCGGCGTCACTTACTGGAGGTGGTGTCTCGGGTCCGGAGCTGACATTTAAGCCCATGAATGCCTGGCACCAAGCCCTGGTTCTAACCACCAGGGAAGGCCCCTCCTCGGGTCCACCTTCCCAGGGAGCTGCTACCTGCTGCTGCTAGGTGTGCATGCCCAGGCCAGGGAGCCAAGGGGAGCCCTGGATACTGGGGTCTGCTCACCTTTCTGGATGTTATCATCTCTCTGCTCTCACGGGCACCTGAGGCTGGAATTTTTCCAATGCTGATACCCCACAACCCGGACCAGGAGAAACAGGAGATTCCAGTGGCAGGGAGGGAGCAGGGGAGCTGGGGGTAGGACGTGACCGTGCGGCCGGGCAGCAGTGACACTGGGAGAGGCTTGAAGGCCTGGTCCAGACACAGAGGTGCTGCTTTGCCTGCGAGTTTGCACGGGATTCCCACCGGCTCGGCGGGCAGAACCGAGTGTGCACGTCAGACTCGCCCCTTCTGGCCAGCTGGCCTCGCACCACTCACTCTTTGCCTCTGGGCCTCCGTGTCCTCACATGGGAGGTAGGAGTCAGAGTACCTGCAGCTGCTGTGAGGCTTGTAGGACGCTGTGTGTGTGACGTGCCCGAGGAGCCCTGGCCCTGGACCAGTCACTCAGTCGGTCAGAGCCCCGCCTTTGGGCCTCCAAGTTCTCTGTCGCAGAGAGGGACCCCCTCGGCGTGGGGCTGGGAACAGCTCCAGCACTGGCCCAATTAGGCAACTCAGAGAGAGGTCAGGGGCCCAGGGGTGCTGGGAAGAACAGGGAGCAAAGGTTCTCACCCTGAGTCAGGCAGGTGGAGGGGAAAGAAGGGAGGAAGTGGGGCTTCGGGGTGCTGGGGTGTTGATGAGGGTGGCCTCTGACATGTCCTGTTGGCCACGTGGACACCCTGCAGGCCTGCAAGGCAGGCGTTCTCCAAACGGGAAAGCTGAGGCTCGGGGTGCTGAGCTCGCCCGCCCAGGCCCACACACGGCGCTGTCAGGTCTGTCTGGGTCTGCAGGCTGGACGCTGGCGGTCACTGCCACTTTCTTATCTGCCCGACAAGGCTGCGAGTGAAGCAGGTGATCTCGGAGGCTCAGAGGGGTCCCAGGCCCTGCCACTCTCTCTTGAGGTGCCCGAGCCCCAGGCTGGCAGGTGACCAGGAGACGTCCCTGGGAGACCCAGGGCTGGAGCTGAGGAGAACCGGTTGGTAGTGACATCAGAGACCGCTGGAGTAAGGGAGTGAGCGCGCCGTCACAGGAGGGCTTCAAGTAAAGACATCCTGAGCCCCCACCAATGTTTTCCAGTGGCCGAGGAGCTGGAGGAGGGAGGGTCTGCGGGGCATCTGCAGGCACGGCTCACAGTGGCTCCCGAACTAGCCGAAATGTTTCTGAAGTTCCTTATTTTATCTTAAGAAGTCATACAGTCGTTCATCCTTCTTTTTAATACGTCAGCTCCCCCCTTTAAAGAACACAAACACAACAGTTTCCCCTCCAAGTCTCTACCTGAGTGGACGTCCCGGAAGACGTGCTGCGGTGCGCAAGCGCCCGAGCTGGGGTCCCCGGGCCCTGCGCCCCTTGGTCTGGTGTGAGCGCACGCAGGGGCGGAGCTGAGGCCAAGACCCTGCCTGTCCCCTCACAGTCTGGGGCTCTCCCTGCCTCTGACCCGGGGCCTCCTGTCCCCCCTCGCACGGACGGCTGGGCTGCCCAACCCGACTGTCCCACTAGGGATTCTCAGGACGCCTCACCCCTCCCTGCAGCCCCGAGAGTCCTTGTCCAGAGGGGCATTTCCCACCTTCAGCCCTCTCTGCATGCGGCCAGCACCGAGCTCACGGACTTCTGTGCCCGTTAAGAGGAAACTGAGGCCCAGAGACAAGAGGTGCCTGACCCCAGGGGCACGGCAAGAAGGCCTGTTGGATGCCCAGGGTGGGGGGGGGGTCTCCGGGCAGGTGGAGTGCATAGGCCTGGGGAGAGGGTGCCAGATCTGGGCCCCGGCCAAGGAGGCAGAGGGGAGGAGGGAAGACCACGGGGCACCGGGGGCTGCTGCCTGGCAGGTCCCTGTGCCCAGGGTAGGGAAGTTTCTTATTTCTCCTGCTCGACTTCCCCCTTTGATTTATTATAGCCATGAAATGCTCTGCTCTCTTCTCTTTTCCTTGCTGTCCCCGGGGCTAGAGGAGCACAGACCTTCCCAGGCACCGGCCCCGGCCTCCCTGGACTCCCGTCCCCGGCCCTGGGTTGAGCCCGGGGGGCCAGAAACGCAAGGTGAGTCATGGGGCGGTCAGGCGGGATGAGCAGGGGCCCAGGCCTCCCAACGACTGGCCTGGGTAGGACCCCCCGGGGCCGGCGACATCTCGCCAGGGCAGGGCTGGGGCTGGGCAGAGGGTGTGGCAGGCCGTTGTGGACTTGAAAGCAGACAGCTCCCTGGGGTCCTGGGGGTGGCGGGCTCCTGGCCAACGGCCTCAGTGAGCCTTGGGCCCCGTCAGGGTCTGAGGGCCAGGTGAGAGTTCCCCAGTGCCAACCGCCAGGTCAGAGAAATGGCTTCTCTGTGACCCCTGACCCCATATTCTGATTCAACAATGGCCAAGGCAGGCCTGGCGCAGGCTGGTCTGGGGATGGATGGGTCTGAGAACCCAGAGGAAGGCGTGAGGCCCGAGGCCTGGGAAACCCCGGCCCCTCCAGGCCGCAGGTGGACAACACCCTGCGGCCTGGCTGAGGCTGGCGAGGGCCGGCGTCTGCCGGGCGGGCCGCCCCGCAGGCCTGCCCGCGGCCGGAGCGTTCCCGCGCCCACCGCCGCGCGGTCGGTCGGTGCCTGCGGTGGCGGGGCTGTTGGCGTTTTGCAATGGGCCGGGGGTGGGGAGGCTGCGCACACACGCTTCCTGTGGTGACTGGGCGCTTCCTGTTTTCTCAGGCGCCGGACTTGCTGCCGTCGGTGTGGAAACAGGGGCAGCTGCAGCCTGGGCGGCTCCGGGCCGGGCGCCCCGGCTCTGCCCAGAGGAGCCCGAGAGGGCCCGCCGCCCCGAGCCCGGGGCCGGGCTAGACGGCCCGAGTTACCCCCCGCCCCAGGCCTCCGTCTTTCCCACCCCAGCAGCTTCCGCCAAGAGGAAGGAGTCAGGCAGGGCTGTTACTCAAGGCTGAGCAGGTGGCCCCCAAGGTCAGAGCCCCAGGAGTGAGCGCTCGAGGCCGGCACCAGGGCACGTGGCCTTGGTCTCAGCTCCGTCCCGAGTTCACGGGGTGGCTTGGCCACCCTGGGCCCACTCGAGGCCTTGGTTTTCTCTTTTGCGTTGTAATCATGGCACAGGCGACCTTAAAGTCCTTCATCCATTTCTGCTCTAATTCGGGCTCGATTTTTATGTCCCAAGAGCCTCAGCTTTGGGGACAGGGTGAGCCCTGAAGCTGGGGGTGCTCTGCACAGGCCTGGACAGAGGGGGGACTTGGACAGACTTGGGGGACAGAGAGGGCACGCCAAGCAGGGGTCGGGGCACGGCCGGGAGGTGGGAAGGCCAGGACCAGGTGTGGGAGGCAGGGTGTTGGTGGGACAGTCAGAGAGAGTGGTGGGTGACAAGGTGGATCCAGAAGGTTCAAAAGCAGGAGAAAGATGTTAAGACCCCCTGTGTTCCTGCGAACCTCAGGAAAGGGCCTGACACCCTCCTCGCATTCCTCCTCAGGAGGAGGACCAGCAGTTGCTTGGAGGGTGGGGGCAGGGCCAGCCCCTCCCATCCCCCAGGCCATGAGTGCCCGGTGGTGTGCTGTGGGGGCCTTGGGAGAGACCCAGCCTTTCCCCATCTGTCAGGTGCCCGGAGTTCCACCACGAGGGCCAGGCCTTAGGGCTCGGCACTGCCCTCTTCCCGAATGTGTTTTGTTTTGTTTGTTTTGTTTTGAAGCTGCTATTGCAAGAAGGGGAGGGGAGATGACTTTGCTTCTTGTTGAGTTTGCTGACAGCATCTGACCTCTGGAGGAAGAGTCTTTTTTGCAGGAAGGTTGGGGCCTGAGCCCCTGGGAACTGACCAGTCCGCTAGCTGAGTTCAGCCACCCCCTTGGTCCAGGTGATTCTGAGACTCGGGCCCCACAGGAGCTCTCCCTACACCTCAAGGCCATTACGGACAGAGTGAGCGAGGTCTTGGGATCTCGAGACCCCGAGGCCCAGCCTGAGGGGCCATCGGGCCAGCCTGGGCCCCGCCATCCTGTCCCTTGCCTTGGTGCCCGGGGCCAGCCCAAGTGCTGAGTTGGCGGCTCAGCAGCTGCTTCTGCCCGAGGAGGCCCAGTTATAAATAAGCCCAGTGTGGCCAAGTCATCAAGTTCTGCCTCAGCCGCATTACCTCAGTGACCGCAGGTTGAGGCTGCCCAAGAGCTGGGCCCACCGGGATGCACCCACCCAGGCTGAGGGCTGGACCAGCCTTGATGCCCCCTGGGGTCCCCAGACCCAGGGCTTGTGCATCTGCAGCCACTGAGACCTGGGCCTCCCTGGACACAGGCCACAGAAGGGGCAGGGCCATCCCGCCTGCACGGAGCCAGCAGCTATTTACAAACCGAAACCGGGAGGGGTGAAGTGGCTGTGGCCAAAGTGGCTCCAGGCCCCCCGCCCCCACTCCCACTCTATCCCCAGAAGCCCCATCCCCCCTCTCCCCATGGCTTCCTCTTTCCTTCCCTGCACAGCCCCCCAACCTCCCACTGCCTGGCCATCTCTCTGTGGACAGTCTGCAAGCGCCACACGATGACCCTCTGCCCTGCAGAGGCCAGCCCCTGGGTCCCCTTCTCCTCCCCACCCCCAGGACCCCATCAGCCAGGGCTCCTTAGAGCAGTAGCCCCTTCCCACCCAGGCCCAGCCCACCCTGGCCTGCCCAAGGCGCATTCCCACAGTTCTCAGTTCCTCTTCATGCTTGGAAAATCTCCAACCCCAATGGCCGCCACCATACTGCCTGTCCTTGCCTGAGGGTGACTCCTCTGGGTACCTTCTGCCTCCACGGGGGGCCACGGAGTCTGGGGTGCTGCGGAGGAACTGGGGCACCCGGGGACTTCAGGGAGCCTGTTTCTGGGCAGGAGGCCCCAGCCCGCACTCTCTCTGAGTTGAGTTTTGGGCCGGTGCGAGTCCCAGGCCCTTGTGTGGTGCAGGACTGGGCTGGGACGGATGGACGGACCCGGGCCGAGGCCCCAGCACAGGGTGGTCGGGGCATAGCAGGGAGCCGCTCCAAGGGGAGACAACAGAGGAGGCACTAATGCTCGTGGCTAATAACGGTTGATGGTGCGTATCGGCCAGCTCTCTGTCCCCAGCACGAGGCTGCCCCGTTATCGCCATCATAAATGGAAACTGAGGCTCAGAGGGGACACGCGTGTTGGAGACCACACAGCTAGGAAGTGTCTGCACTGCGGTTCTCGACCTGCAGACACCCCGTCCCGCTCTCCCCGAGCCCGACTGCTGACTCGTTTCAGCTGCTGGGACCTCAGCCTCACGCTGGGAGGACGGACATCTCCCAGAGCCGTGACAAGGGTGGCAGCGGGGCTGGCCTGCAGCTCGAGGCCTTGGGCAGCAGAGTTGTCAGACAGTCGCCTCTGGCCGGGCCATGCATGCCTGCAGCCCTCCGCCCCGCCCGGAGGGAGGGCTCTCACTGCCCCGCGTCCGTCCTCCCGCCAAGTCCCAGGGGAGGCAAAAGCCCCATCCCGGGCCCTGCTCAGCCACAGCTGCCGTCTGACGGTCAGTCACCTAGCCTCTCGGAGCCTCTGAGTCCTCTTCTGGGAAACCGTCACTTCCCAAACACCGAGCTTGGTACAAGGTGTCTCTGCAGTTAGGACGCAGCCCTGCCCACGGCTCTGTGGGGGAGGCGGAAAAGTTACAGAATCCTGAAAGCTCTGAGAGGGAAACTGAGGCTGCGGGGTACCGAGAAAGGAGCGAGAAATACTTCCCGGGTTGGGAGGGGTCCCACTAGCCATGGGTCCTAAAAGACTAGAAAGAGATCCTCCCCCGAAAAAAACCAGGGGGGACGGGCTGTCCATTCTGAGTCACATCCCTGTGTCTTCAGCATTTCCCACGGCCTGAGCGCCCTTCCTTCCCCTGGGCCCGGCAAACTCCTATGCACCTGTCAAGGCCTGTGGACACACCGCAGCATGGCCGGGCCTGGCTGGCCTGGCAGCTGCACATCTCCTCTTTCCCACCCTGGGCCTGAGCAGACCCGGGGACGAGTTGGCCTTGGCCACAACGCCTTTGCCAGCCCCACCCAGCCAGGCATCTGCTCCCGAGCTCCAGCCCCCGCTGTCCCCAGCTCCGAAAAGCACCGTTTCCCTTTTCTGGGTGACCACACGCCATGTACAGGGAATTTCCATCGCAGCCTGCGGAGCCTCTGATTCACTCAGACCCCCCGTATGGTTAACTCCTTCTGGGCCTGCGCCTTCTGCTGCCCCCCTCCCTGGGCTGCCCCCACCCTGCCTGGGGCCCCTGAGGAGCCTCAGACTGGCCTTGGGCTCCACAGCCTGGACGTGGAAGCCAGCCTCTCGCTCGCTGGCCCACTCAGGGTCCTGGTCCACTCAGGGAGCCCTGCCCCCAGGGCTCGGGGGCCCACACTCGGGGCAGCGAGCTGAGCACGGGTTCCTCAGTAACGCAAGCCCGGGTCTGGTCCGCAAGGGCTCGCTCTGGGCGCCGTTTCTCATCTGTAAGATGGAGACATTCCCGTCCCAGCGCCTGGTTCTGAAAACCCAGTGTCTGGGCCCGTGGAGGGAGCTCGGTCACAACCAAGGGGCCCTCTCCCCCCCCCCCCCCCGTCACAGGGGCCCTACTCCACACCCGAGCCCTTTTCTCAGTCTGGCTGGCTTTCCCCTGCAGAGACCTGGTGGCCCAGACAGGGTGCAGGAGAAGGGCGGGAAGGCAGAGGAGGCCGGGCTGCGACCTCGGGGTGGGGGGTGGGGGGCCTCCGCCAGCCGCCCAGCCCCCACGTTTCTCAGTGTTTCGGAGGAGGTGGTGGAGAGGCCTGGTGGGAGCTGAGAGGCTGAGGGCCGCAGGGATCCTGAGCCTCGGAGCCGGAGCCTCCCTCCCTCCCTCCCTCCCTCCCGTGCACACGGACTTCACACGCGTGGTCTGGTCTAATTCTCGGGGGCCCCGCGCGGTGCATCCTAGCAAATCCTAGCATGGCCCCACCTCACAGATGAGGACGCTGAGGCCCCAGGCAGTGACGAGCCCTCGTCAACACAGTGCACGAAGGAGGGGGACAGGATTCAAATCGAGGTCTGCCTCTGGCAGGCCCAGTAAGCACGTGTGGAGGCCAATAAGGGGAACACGCACTGACTGAACCCCGACTGTATACTAGGGAAAGGCTGACGGTCTTGTCCAGGCCTTTGAACAACGCGGGGAGGCAGGTCCTGTGGACCTCTCCGTAGGGATGAGTCGTCTGGGCTCTGGCCGGGGGAAGGAACTTGCCCAGAGGCCACACGTCCCGTCTCAGGGAAGGAGCCAGGGGCGCCGGGAGAGGAGAGGACGGTGTTAAGGGTTCCACAGGCGAGGGGGCCGCAGGGAAGCGGCTCCTGTCCTCAGCGAGCCAGCAGCGTGGGGGTGCTGCCCGTGGTGAGCAGGAGGAAGTCGCTGTGGGTGGCGGTGGGTTTGAGGTGCCGGAGGCTGAGTGATGTGGCCAGGAGGTGAGCTCCTCGTCTGGAGGCCTGGTCAGCAGGAGACAGGGGTGCGGTGGGGTGGCCGTGATTCAGGGCCCAGTGGAGGTCGGCCTGCTCTGGAGATCCGTGCCCGCTGTGGTTGGGACTGGGGACAGCGGACGGGAGGTGGCACAGATGGGAGGGGAGACTCGGGGGGGGGCGGCGAGGGAGAGATGGAGGTAGGCAGGGACGAGGGTCTCTGGAGGGCAGCCTGGAGGAGGTGAGCCCTGGAGAGACAGAGGCCTGAGGCTGCAGAAGGGGGTGGCCTGTGAGCAAAGGCTGTGGGAGATTGAGAAAGCGGTTCTGGGAATGTTGAGAAGTGTCTTCTGGCTGGAGGTGGGGCTGGGGCAGGTCCACGGGGGTGGGGGAGGGTAGAAAGAGCCGGCTGCACGCTAAATGTCGGGGGCTGCGGCACAGGCTGCAGAGGTCTGCACTTTGGCCCGTGGACAAGTGAGAGCCAAGGAAGGTTTTTAGGGAGGGAGACACCCACGGGAGACACTCGAGATGGGGACATCGGCAGCACAGCCCCCAGGGCCGTTCAGAACCACAGCCTCACCCCCCCCTCCACTGGCCAGCTGCGTGTCCCTGGGCACACCCCTCACCCCCCGGGGCCTCACTTCCCTCATCTGTGAAATGGCCCCGATAATGAAACGTTTGTCTCTCCGGATTACATGAGGGGGGACCGAGTCACTGCCCGTGGACTGATCAGATGCCGGGCCCTGTCCCCGGGCCTTGGGCCGCAGGCGCCCTGTGAAACCTGCCGCGGACCCGAGCCAGGCTCTCCGGCGGCCTGGCCGAGCCACGCCCTGCCAGGCACGGCCCGCTTCTGAGCCTCAGTTTCCTCGCCTGCACCACGAGCACGGTGCCGCCACCGCCTTTAGGTTTGAAGAGGGGATGCACCCTGTGGTGGTCTGCCCCCGTCTGAGGTCAAAACTAAACTCCACACCACACCCCCCAGGCTCTACCTGGCACGGCCCCTGCCCTCGCCCTGCACCCCGAGGTCCTGGTGCACGCCCTGCCTGGCCTGTGCTCGGGCTGGGCCCCTGCCCGGAGCTCTCCCCCAGCCACCTGCTCAGGGGGCTCGCTCCTTCCCTGCTTCCAGGGTTTGCTGAGGCGCCTCCTCAGTGAGGCCTGCCCTGCTGCCTCAACGGGCCCGCTGCCCCCACCCCGCTGCCCGACCCAGGACCCCCCTACCCCTTTGCTACATGGGAAAGATCTCATCTGCTGTGTGTATCCCCTCCCCCCTCCTCTCTGCTCCAGGACAAGCCCCGCAGGGCGGGGGTCTGTGCCCGCATGGGCGGCCGGGCCCACCCAGACCCTGAGTCAGTATCTGTGAGATGTCCTGATGCACCATACAGCCCACCCAGTGCTGCGACCTGCGCTCGGGAGCCCCGAGGGGCCCAGTCGGCCGAGGCTGGGGCCCAAGGAGCCTCTCCTCGTGTCTCAACCCTGAGAGGAAGTTGCAAGACGGCCATTTGTGTACACAGGTTGAGCTCGGCTTGTCATCTTTCCCAGCTCGTGGTCTGAGGCCTGCGTTTTCCCACACACCCCGGCACGCCCTGCGGGGGCCCGGTGCTGGAGAAGGGGGAGGGGATTCCACTCCCTCGTTTCAGAGCTCTCCGGGGCTGAGGCTGAGGGGCCTGCAAGTTCTGGGGTTGTGTCCCCTCTGTGGACTCGCTCAGCTTCGAAGACACAGCACCCACGTTTCCTGTTGCCCGCCCACCTTGCGATTGCAATAGCACCCAGCCTACCCCCAGCAGCCACCCAGCCCAGCGGGGGCAAAGGGCAACCCAGCCAGCCCTCTGTCACCCCGGGCCTTCCTGTCGCTCAGCCCGACAGGACCTCCCGCTTGGCCAGTGGGGTGTTGGGAAGGCACTGTCATGTGGTGCTGGTGGGAGGGTGGGTGGGCACGACTTTCATCAGGGGTGATGTGACCGGCTCTCTATCCATCTCTCTACCCATCATCCGTCTCAAAATTTAAGAGGCAGCACACCCAGAACTAATACAATATTAGGTGGTAATTATATCTCAATAAAAAACACATCTCCTTTGACGTCAAGGAGAGTCAAAAATCCCTGTGCACCTATGTTACGAAATCTAAAGAAATGATCTCTGTTCCGATGAGTTAAGATAGCTATATGTCATTTTCGGTATTACTTATAATTTAAGAGCTTTCTATTTCTATTTAAGTAATTTCTTTAAACAAAGATTGTATTTATTTCTTTTTAGGGAGAGGAGAAGGGAAGGCGAAAGAAAGGGAGAGAAACATCAGTGTGTGGTTGCCTCTCACACACCCTTTGCTAGAGACCCGGCCCACAACTCAGGCATGTGCCCTGACTGGGAATCAAACCAGGGACCCTTTGTTTTGCAGCCGGAACTCAATCCACTGAGCCACACCAGCCAGGGCTATTTCTATTTAAGTAATTTCTGATACTATGTATTAGCATCTACAGGGAGGGGGACACTTCCCTCTAACTTCCCTGTTTAAAAAAAAATAGCCTTGCCCCTTGACCCACCATTTCAACTTTTGGAAATTTATTCTAGACATGCACCTGTATATGTGTAAAGTAACACATTTTATCGATTGTAGTAGGGTCATTTGTACTAGCAAATGACTGGAAACAACCCGAATGTCCATCCTTTAGAGACTGGTTAAGTACATTTTAAAACATTCTTTTTTTTAAAAGATTTTCTTTGTTAACTTTTTAGAGAGAAGTGTGGGGGAGAAGAAAGGGAGAGAAACGTAAGTGTTCAAGAGATACATTGACCAGTTGCCTCCCACACCCCCCCAGCGAGGGACCTGACCCCCAACCCAGGCACGTGCCCTGCCCGAGTATTGCATCGGCGACCTTCCAGCTTGCAGGTTGGCACTCAGTCCACTGAGCCACACCAGCCCAGGGCTGGTTAAGTACACAGTTAACAACTGAAATACTATACAGCAATGAAAATGGACCATGGCTATGTGCAACAACACAGTGGGAAGAAGAAGCAGAATCTTCTCCTCACCAAAATATTTACACTCTGATTCTTTTTATAGAAAGATTAAAATCTGTTAAGAGGAAAACCAAGCTATGTGTCAGAGATATTTACATGCATGGTAAAGCCGTAAAGAAAAGCAAGGAAATAATTACTGAGAACATTAGAATGGTATTCCTTCTAGAGCCGGGGAAGGGTCTGTAAGAGGACATTTGGGGGGTGCTCGTGGAGTGCTGGGAATGTTTTATTTCTTGACCTGGATGGGGGGGGGGTTGGGCAAGTGTTACCTTTGTAATTATTCTTTAAACTGTATGCAAACATTTTAACAGGAACGAGGCCGCTCATTTGAAAAGATTGCAGCCCATTCAAACAGTGGAATACTGTAGTCGTTAAAAAGGAGAGGTCAGCTGTGTATGCACGGGCACGGAATGGATTTGGGGGGAGGGGAAGCAAAGTACAACGTGTTTTTGTGCTACCTTTTCGATAAAATCACTGAGAGGACATACCTGCCCCGGAGCTTCTGGCTGTGTGCCCGTCTCCAGAGAAAATGCACGCGAGCCAGCAGGCCTCAGGGAAGCCTGTGGATGGGGAACCGCGCAGCTGTTTCCCTTTTTGTGCCTTATGAGTTTTGTGTCGTGTGCATCTATTATCTATTCCAAAAATAAAATTAAATTGAAAGTGTCTCGCCTCTCCTTCTCCAGAACCCTGAAGATGTTCGGAGTGAAACTGATTTCTTGCCGCCAAGGATGAGAACCACCGCCCAAGGCGTGAGGCGTCGGGCGACCTCCTGGGAGTCCGAGGCGGCGACCCCCTCGGATCCCCGTTCCCTCCGCGGTAGAGGACGGAGGCCATGCCACCCCCCCTCCCCCCGGTCGTGTCTCCTCCCCAGGCCTTCATCCTCCTCCTCCTCTGCCGCGCGCACACTGTGCCCTCCTAGCTGCCTCACTTCCCTCCACTGGCACTGTCTCCGATTCTGTTTTTCTTTCCCTTCCTCTCTGATCCTCACTGCCTCTCCCCGCCCTTCCCCCTCCCTGCCCTCTCCGTGTGGCCGGCCCAGTGCCGGGCACTCAGAAGATGACTCCCCTCCTTCTAAAAAAGCCGTCAGCTCTGGGGTCGTGGGTGATCACACGCTTCCCGCTCTGCTTGAAATGGCTTCGAATCTGGGTCCCACTGCTCTGAAGACTTTGCACAACAGCAGGTCCCCGGGCGTGTGAGGTCTGGGAAGAGGCCCCTGGCACCCTGCGTGGGGAGGGGCAGCGGGAGTGGGGGATGGGAGGACTTGTCGGTGTGCGCATGGCGGGCGCGCAGGCGCGCCTTGCGCAGAAAGCGAGACTCGTTCTGCCCGCTTCCAGAGATCTGGGCCCTGGATTGTTTGGGGGGCTTCTTCCTCAGGCCTGCTGGGCTTGGCCAGACTTGGGACAACGGAATTTCTCCTCCTGGGCCCCTTGAGACTCCAGCCTGATAAACCCATCGCTGACCTGGTTTGCTGCCTCTGCCTCGGAGAAGAGCACCACACCCGCTGCCTGCAGCCAGCGAAGACTCCACAGTTGTCCCTTGGTGCAACCCAGGCTTCTTGGCTTGACATTCAAGGCTCTTTGCCTTCCCGTCCCGCCTTGCTTCTTGCCGCAAAGATGGCGGCTGACTGTTCCCTTGTTCTGTCCCCGCTTCCTTGCCTTTGCTCAGGCTGGTTCCTCAGCGAGGCACGGCCCTTCCCCTGCATGCTCTCCCGCCTGCGGCCCTGACTAATGCATCGTTCTGCAATGTACCTAGCACCTGCCTCTTGTGCCCCTCCCCCCGTCCTGGGCACCCAGGGCACACCTCATTCATGCTCGTGCCCAGCGTGTGGAAGACCCTCAATAAAACGTTAGTGATTAAATGAGTGAGTTCGTAGATAAATAAGCATACAGACGAATCAAACCAAACCAAGGCGATAATGAACAAACAAACGAATGCGTGCATGAAGACATCAGGCCGGGCCTGTTCCCACGGAGCAAATGCACCCTCATACACACCCCGTCAGCTGGGACTCTGCCTTCCTGACAAGGAAGTTCCGAGCAGGGACGGAGCTGGTCCCAGGTCAGCCTGCCTGTCCCCTCGTCTTGGGGAGGGGCCTGGGTCAGGTCCTTAGGGTGTCTTTGGGACTGGTGACCTGGGCCCCTTGGAGAGACCCCGTGGATGCAAAATATCAGTGAAGAGGGAAGTGGTTTAATGGTGAACCTAGACCCGTGGGTCCCAGGTCTTTGCTGCCAGTAAAGAAACCCATGGGGGGCTGGGCTCCCACCAGCAGCAAAGAGATAGTCTCGTCTTGGTGGGAAGGGGACATAAAGCAATGGCTTAGACTGCATAGGGGATGACACCGAATGCTCCAGAAGATCTTCCCCAGCAGAGGGGACTCTCCGGGGATCAGTGGATCAAAGCATGTCTGCACTCTCCCCTCGGCCCTGCAGACTAGATCAGGCGCTGTCTGGAGGTGGGGAGCTTGGCCAATACTTTTCTGCTTTCCCAGCCCTCAGCACAGAGCCTGGGACGCAGTTAGCGCTGGCAGGAGGCACAGATGAAGGCAGGAGTGGTTGGGGGAAATGAATCAATGAGCAGGGGGGTGAGTGGATGGACAGGTGGGTAGGTAAACGAATGGATGGTTAGGTAGACGGATGGGTAGGTGGACGGATGAATAGGCGGGTGGATGGATGGATGAGTGGATGGATAAAAGGACTAATGGACGAACAGACAGATAGCTGGGTGTGCAGTGGATAAACAGAGGAAATATAGACTGACGGATTAATGACGGATGAATGGGCTGGTCCATGAACACATAGATGGCTAGACGGACCAGTAGATAGATAGATGGGTGGATGGATGGATGGATGGACTAACAGATAAATGAATGAATGAAGGGAGAGTTGGATGAACTGATACATAAATGAACGTACGGCTGACTTGATGGGCAGAGAGGTGGATGGACAAATAGGTAAACAGGTTATTTCAAAAACAGATGAACAAAGGGAGAGCCAAGAAAGGTTAGTACATGAGGAAGACTAGGCTGACGCTCTGGCTTTGGCGAGGGGCAGGGAAACTGAGACATCTGGGCGGGCCTGGAGCCCCGAGGTCTGGAAGGAGCAGTGGTGCCCGGGGAACCGGGAGAGGTGGTGGAGCAAGAGCCCGGGAGCCTCCTTCGGTGGAAAGGAAGCCCATGGAAGGGACCGGGGTGGGGGACCCCAGGCCTAAGAAGGGCCAGGCCTGGCAGTCTCAGCTCTCAGCCAGCCAGGCTGACCCTAGAAAGTGGAGGCCCCAAGAGGGTATCCCAACGAGCTCCGACCCCAAGGAAGTGACTGTGGGCCACACGGCAGGGATCTCAGGAGAAGTAAGCACTTGAGGGGTTAGGGGTGAGGGCTTCAGCACAGCCCGGGGCCAGCAAAGGCCTCGCTGTGGTGGATCTAGCCTTCCTCCCTCCCGCTCTTCCGCTCCACTGCAGCCCCCACGACCGCCCCTCACAGTCCCAGCTTCCTCTGGGCAGAGGGCTTGGCCCCACAGCCCCCCAGGCCAGCCCCTGGAGCACCACCTGCCCCAGCCTACTCTAGAGGGCCAGAGACTTCCTGTAGCGCAAGAGATTTATGCAAACGGGCTGGGGCGGTGATGTCACCCCAAGGGGACTATCTTCCAGTGGCAGGCCCTTCGATAAAATCAGGAACTTGCGCTGGCCCTGCAATGTCAAGGGAGGGGGCTCACGCAGGGCTCCTGTAGCGCAGGGGGCAGGCCCGAGCCCTGCGCCCTCCAGTCCGTCCGGCCCCCGACGGGGCTTCCCATCCCAAGGGGCTCCGCACTGGCCCCCACCGAGGCAGGGGACCTGACCGGCTCGGAGCTCGGCTGGATGTTACAGGCGTGCAAAATGGAAGGGTTTCCCCTCGTCCCCCCTGTGAGTACTGGGACTCCTCCGCCAGCCCAGCCCGTGGCCCTCGGACGCCCGCCTGCCCGCCCGCCAGCCCACAGGCTGCCCTCCTGGCTCGCTATCAGTGGGAAGTTGGTGTTTCCTCCCTGGAGCTCCTGGCCTGAGAACCAGTGAGGGGGCCATCGGGTCGTCGGAGCATGCCCTGGCGGGCTGAGGCTGGGCCCGCGGTGGGGCGGTGATCGGTGGGGCCTGAACGGTTATTTATAGATGGGGCTTGGGTGGCAGGCCTGAGCTCCAGGGCAGGGTGCTGGGCTGAGGACGGTGAGGGCGGCGGCAGAGGGGTGCTGGAGGAGGGGATGGGGAGACCGGTGTGGGGGGAGGCCGGCCCCGAGGACGGTGAAGCTGTGAGAGCAGGAGGCAGCGGGCCGCACGGAGGTCTCGGCCTGTGGCCTGAGAGCTTTTGGAGGCCGAAGCTGCTGTAACTCTGGGTCCCCGGCGCCTGGCCTGGGGACTGGCACAGAGGACGTGGTTGTTGACCGAAGGGTCTGGGCCTTGGGCCCGCAGGTCCCCAAGAGGCAGGGGCACGGACCGGGGGTGGAACAGAGACCAGGGCTGCAGTTAGGGCTGGGGATCCGGGAGAAGAGGGTGGGAGCTAGGGCTGGGGACATCTTGGGGCTGAGATTGGGGCTGGGGTAGTGTCTGATCGAGTTCGGGGAGGGAATTAGGGCAGGGGCTGAGGTTGGAGGTGAGGAAGGACCGGGGACCCGGGAAGGCTGGGACGATAGGCTGGGGTGGACGCCCCACTGCCCCTGCTCCGGGTGGCAGTTGCAGCCTTAGGCAGGTGTCAGACTTGGGCTCCTCTAAAGAGACCTTTCCTTTTCCTCGCTCTGTCTCCACTCAGCAATGGTGGGGAGCCTTGGCGGGGGGTGCCGGGAAGGGACTTGGCAGGGCCTGCCCACTTGACTCAGCTTTCCCAGCCTGGGGGCAGCTCCCCTCCCCTGCCCGGCCCAGCTGCCCAGCCCGGCTGGGCCTCAGAGCCCCTGGGAGGCACCTCGGGCTGACACCCTGCTGCCGGGCCGCCCTGCCTGAAACCCCAGTGCTGGGCTCCCGGCTTCCTTGCTCTGCTCGACACGGCCCTAGCCAGCTGCCCGCGTCCCCGCCCTCCACCCCGATCTGGCCCTGTCCCACCTTTCCCCCTCCTGGGACCGAGAAGGGGGTGATGGAGGTGGTCCCAGGAAGAGCCAACTCTGCCTCAACAAAGCCACAGGCCCAGGGGCTTGGCCACCCTCTCTCTGACCCTTGCCCCTCAGTCCCTAAGCTCCCGATAGAGAGGGGCCAGAGGCACATCTCGGGCTCCCATACCACACCCTTCAGCCCCTCTCCCCAGCCCAGGGGCTACCCTGAGTACTCCTGGGAGGGTGGGCCCCAAGGCAGCCCCGGCCCCCAGTCAGAGCCCTGAGGCCCAGAGCGAGGGTTGTGCAATTCCTGGGCACACGCTTTGGGGTGGGGAGAGGCCAGATGACTGCTGGGAAGACTGGGTGTGCACGTCCCTGCGCCTGTGCCAGTGAGTGAGGAGGAGGAGGAGGAGGGGGACAAGGAGGGGAGGGCAATGGGAGGAGGGAGGGGGTGGGGGAGGGGGAAAGCAGGATCCCAGTGAGGGAGTCAGAAGGAGGATGCATGAGGGGCAGTGGGGGGTCGAGGCTCTGGCCACCCATGGCTCCCAGAGCCCACCCGGGTGAGAGCTGTACACCCCATCAGTGCGCACAGCCCTTGGTCGGCGAGGTGGCCCTGGGCGGGCCTGGGGCCTGGGGCCTGGGTGTGGGCTGGGAGAGAGGGAGGGGGGCTGGGGTGGGGGCCGTGGGGACTTGGGCAGGAGGACCAGTGTGCGCTGTGAGGACAAGTGTGCAAGTGGAATGGGAGTGACTGTGCAGGGATGCAGGTACACAGGTGAATTCGATGTGCTTGAAGGTGAGTGAGTGGCTACGTGTGTGAATCTGAGTGACTCTGTGTGGACCTATGGTGTGTGTGTATGTGTATATGTGTGAGTGTGAGGGCGAGTGTGAGAGCTGTGGGCGTGAGCTGCCTTTGGGAGTGTGGGCGTGAGTGTGTCATGGGGAGTGCGTGTGTCTGGGGGCGGTGGGGGCATCAGTGTGAACGTGAGAGGGCGAGTCTGCGAGGCCGGGACTCGGGCACGCAGGTGTGAGTGAGTGTGAGCGCATGCGAAGAGGGCAGGGGTGGGGGTGCAGGGAGGCTCTGCTCTCCCCTCAGCCCCGGTCTTCTTCGGACCTCTGACCTCTGACCTCCAGGGTGCCTGCCACCCCCTTTCTGCACGAGCCAAAGCTCTTGTTCTCCTGGGTCCCTGCTCCCACTCCCTGTGGCCTCTCCCAGGCCCAAGCAGAGAGAGGCCCAGTACAGCAGCTCCATCTGGGAAGGTGGTGTGGACCCAGTACACGGGGGGTGGGGGGTTGCAAACCTGGATGGGGTTCCCCCTGCCACAGTCTGAGTCCTGACACCCTCCTCTCTCAGCAGCCATCGGAAGACCTGGTTCCCTACGACACAGATCTGTACCAGCGCCAGACGCACGAGTATTACCCCTATCTCAGCAGTGATGGAGAAAGCCACAGCGGTGAGTGCAGGGCCTGCCCCGCCCCACTGCCCCAGCCTGGCCGGGGTGCCCAGGTGGCTCCTGGGGTCTGGAGGGAGGAAAAAGAAGAAAGGGCTCCCAGGGCTTCTTTGGAATTCGGGGAGAGCAGGCTCAAGCTAGTTCCCAGGGGGCGTGAACTCCCTGCCCTAAACCCCGCACTCCCCCCACCCCCACCCCAGCTCCCATTCATCGAGCATCTCTGGTGTGCCAGGGCGCGGGGCCAGCTTCTTCCACGTTCATCCTCCTGTCCAGTCTTTGTGGCCTTTTCACCGATGAGGAAACAGGCTTTGGGCGCTAAGTGATTCGGACAAGGTCGCACAGCTGGTGTGTGTGTGTGTGGGGGGGAATCAGGGGGGTGTCCAGGTCTGTCTGCTCCAGGGCCAGCACTTTCCCTCTCCAGTTTCTCCTTCCTCCTCTCTGTTCTTGTCACCCCCTCACCCCAAAGTGTGGGTGCGGGCCCACTCCCTGCTGGGTGGAGCTAGCAGTTCCTTAACCTCCATGGAAACTCGGGGCCAGACAACTCTGTGGCGTGAGGCTTGGCCTGTGTCTGCGGGACATTTATTGGTGCCCCGAGCTTCTGCCTACTAAGATGCCAGCACCCCCACCAGGCCTGACAACCAAGAATGTCCACACGTTTCCAAATGTTCCCGGGGGGTGGGCAGGGTAACCCCGATTTGACAATTGCTGGGCTAAAAGAGCATCTCCGAGGGTCTCTTATGCAGCAGGGGCCGAAGCCCCTGTTTGCTGGGAGGTCAAGAATGGGGCCTGGGCTAGGGGCCCTTCTGTCTGGGTGTAACTGTTCACCCCAAGGCCCAGCCCAGCTCCTGGAGCAGCTTCTGGGGAGAGCGAGGCATTACGTGCTGGGAACTTGTGTCCTGGCAATTGATAGGGACACTGCTGAACCAAAGGTGGTGTAGTCTAGTTAATGGGTCCTCACTGGGGCTCTGAGACCTGGGCAGCCCAGACCTGGGGGAGTCTGCAGCCCCAGAGGGAGAGGCACACTGGGTGCCACAGCTGAGCAAGGTGTCACTCTTGAAGGCCGCACCTGGGGGCCAGTCCCACCTGTAGCTCCATTTCGCAGGCACTGCTATGGCAGCCTCAACCCGCCAGCCACCCCCAGGGGGGCCACCTGCGATGCGAGTCCTTACTTAGGGCTCTTCTGTCTGTTTGCCAATCCTTGTGACCAGCTCCAGCTGGAACTCACACCTGGCAGCGCGTATAAAGACTGTACCTGGAAGCCACATCTTGGGAGGAAGTGGTGGGTGTACCTCGAGGCCACATCAGGGAACACACAGGCCTCTTTCAGAAAGAACCTCAGGGCTGAAAGGCTTTAAAATATCCTCTTTTTCATCCTTTTAAACTTTGCATTCTACAAGAAGGGCATCTTCTCTGTGGGAAAGCCAGACAGTTCAGAGAGAGGCTCCCTCTGCAGGAGTCAGAGCGCAGCGCCCACACCTAGCAGTCAGGACCTGCGCGGTCCCTCCGGGCCTGGGGACCGGCGCCCCCTGGTGGCTCCAGGCAGCAGGACTGCTCGGGCCCAGGCAAGCTCAGGGCCGCCTGGGATTGCTTCCAGCATTAGGGATCAGTTCGCCTCTGCGGCCTGACCCCCTCTCAGTTTCACTGGGTTTGGGTGCATTTCTTTTGGGTCCAGTGAAGCCTGAGGTTTCCCTCCTGTAATATGGGGGAGCTGTTCGTGTATTTAGAAAGGAGCTGGGCCTGGGGCTGGTTGATGGAGGGAGTACTTTAGAGAAAGCCTGTGTTCTCCATCCCTTACATCTGGGTGGGGCTATAGGAGTGGCTCCTAATGAGACGCCTGAGCGCCCCGTTTGGGTCGCGAAGCCTCGGTATCTTCAGAGACTCCTCCAGTGTCTGAGCCCCTACTTCTCCAGGCATTTGATCTAGCCCTTCCTAATAATACCTGTTGGAAGGTGACATCTGAAGGCTCAAGAGTAGAGACACCCGCATCCTTCCCCCAGTCCTTGCACCTTCCCGGGCCTTTCAGGCCGTGAGGCACAGGCGCTGGGGCAGGACCTGTGCCTCGCGCGGTTCCATCCCTCACCAGTGTGTAACCTTGGAGACGGACAGACTTGCTCTCTCTGCTCCCTCACCTATAAAACTGACAGCGTGAAAATACTGCGTAGAGTTGGGACACTTAAATGAGGAGGTGCCAGAAGTGGATGAGCTCATGTTCTAGGTCCCAGGCCCAGCAAACGTTCCGGACACGTTGCAGTAGCTTTGCTGCGTCTCCCAGGCAGGGGAGAAGTTCAGAGGGCTCCGGGGCAGGTCAGCCAGCGAGCCAGCCAGCCACCCACCCGTCCACCCAATACTTACGGTCCAACCTGACCGCCCACACACCCAACAGCCAGCCTCTGTTACCTGCCAGGCACCGGACACTGTTCTAGGCGCCAGAGGCTCCATGGTGAGCAAGTTAGGCCACTGCTTGCCCAGTGAGAGAGAGCGAGCGCGAGCGAGCGCACGGGCAGGTGGGTAACCACGAGGCCTAAGACAAGCAGAGGAGTACGATGCGATGCGCGGGGTCTTTATGGGGGCTGCTTCAGTGCGGGTGCTCAGCAAGGGCCTCTGAGGGCGGCAGTTGGGTGGACGTCGGAGTGAAGAGAAGGGACGTGCCTGCAAAGGCAGGTGGGGGCAGGGTGTCTTAGGCAGAGGCCCCCACGTGGCTGTGAGCCCGGTGGGGCGGAGACAAAGTGAAGCGGGGGCGGGTCTGCAGGGGGCAGACCACATGCCTGAAGGGCAGGACGGGAGTGTGGGTTTTACCCCGCAAGCAGTGGGAGCCATTGGAGTTTGAGCGGAAAAATGACAAGATCTGAATAACCTTCTGTGTGGGGGGGAGGGTGTTTGGTAAAATTTTAAATAAATTTTAAATCTTTAATTTTTAATGATTAAAGTAAAACATGCTTACTGCAAAACTTTTTTAAAATACAGCAGTATATGAAGTAAAATATTTCCCTCACCCCAGCCTTCCTCCTCACTGACGGCACCTCAGTCTTTGATTCTACGTACATAATCCTGTGTGTGTGTGAATATTTGCACACACATGTGTGTAGTTTGTTCACTCAAAAATGGAGTTGTGCTATCACGCCGCTCTGCTATTTGCTATTTCTTACCTAAACTTGTAGGCATTTCTTCATGACATACATAGCATGTCAGAGATAGATTAAAAGTAATGTTTCCAGTCCACCACAGTGCTGTGTGCGTGCATGCGTGCACATTTGGAATACATCCTTTTTTTTTTTTAAAGATTTTATTTATTTATTTTTAGAGAGGGAAGGGAGGAAGACAGAGAGAGAGAGAGAGAGAGAGAGAGAAACATCAATGTGTGGTTGCTGGGGGCTGTGGCCTGCAACCCAGGAATGTACCCTGGCTGGGAATTGAACCTGGGACACTTTGGTTCCCAGCCCGCGCTCAATCCACTGAGCTATGCCAGCCAGGGCTGGAATACATTCTTAGAGCAGCGGTTTTCAACCTTCTTCCTCTCATGGCACACACAACTAATTACTAAAATTCTATGGCACACCAAAAAATCTGTTTTGTTGTTCTGCCGGTCTGACCAAAAAAATAGGAAAAATTTTGATTCATGCACACCAGACAACTATTATTGTATTGGCTGTCGTCATTTTTTATTTGATCATCTAGGGGAAAAGCGGTCAGTGCCCCTGACTAAACAGTTAGGTATTGCAGGTTTTAAAAATTCTCGTGGCGCACCAGTGGCCACCCCACCCTGCCCCGGCACACCTTAAAAACTTTTTTTTTAAAGATTTTATTTATTTATTTTAGAGAGTGGAAGGAAGGGAGAAAGAGAGGGAGAGAAACATCAGTGTGTGGTTGACTTTTATGCGCCCCCTACTGGGGACCTGGGCCACAAGCCAGGCATGTGCCGGGACTGGGAATCGAACCTGCGATCTTTTGGTTTGCAGGCTGGCGCTCAATCCACTGAGCCATATCAGCCAGAGCCAAACCTTTTAAATTTGGGACAGTATCTATTCATTTGTGCTATGAAAGATGAGAATTTGGCTTTCTGGCTATTCATAACACACACACACTTCTCCACACATATATAAAGATAATTATGTAGTGGCATTTATTTTTTTCTAGTTTTCTGAATTAACATATAATATTGTATAAATTTAAGGGGTACAGCATAAAAAAAACGACCACACACACACACACACAGTGAAATGAGTACCACAGGTTTCACTAATAACTATCAACTTGTATAGTTACAAAAACTTTTTCCTTGTGACGAGAACTTTTAGGATCTGTCACTCTCTTAGCAATGTTTAAACCTGCCAAACAGCAGTGTCGACCGTGGCCACCATGCTGTTCCTTCTGTCCCCAGGACTGACTTATTTTATGACTGGACGTTCAGGCCTTGGACAATCTCCAGCCGATTCCCTCCCCCCACTCCCCCACCCCCTGCCTCCGGTAACCCCGAATCTGGTCTCTGTGTCTATGAAGTTTGTTTGTTTGTCTGATGCCACATGCAAGTGAGATCATACAGTAATTGTCTTTCTCTGTACAGTGACTTCTGTTAAATCAGTGTCCGAATTTTCCTCTTAGGGAATTGGCTATTAGGGTCATGTGACCATGACAGCTGAGACACGCGGCACACTTTACCTGCAGGCTCAGGTCCCCGAGTTTCTGGGGGGCAGTGAAGCCAGGGTCCAAGAGCCCTCGTTCTGGAACCAGGCTGTGGGGGGGGCGCACCCCACTTCCCACTGCTACCGGGGTGACCAGGGCAGGATACCGCCCCTCTCAGGGCCTCTGCCTTGTCCCACACGGCACAGGGTCGCTGTGAGGACGGGTCACTGCGTGCAGAGCGCTTAGAGCAGTGGGTGTTCTGCTGTGAGCGTTTGTCATCCTTATCAGCTCGGTCTTCTGAGAAAGGGTGGGGGTGAGCTCTTGCGGTTGTTTGTTTTACTCCGTGTCTTTAATCTGCGCTCTCCCTCGATTGATAGTAGCTT